GTCCATTTTGTACCAATTTTACAATGAATTTTTTGTCTTTATGCCCTGCCAAGGACCGAAAGAACCGTTTCAGTCAACTTCACTTACAATTTTATCTTCTTTAGTTTATTATTCTTAACCCTTGCAGCCGTCGGCCTCGACTCGGCCCTAGAAGTTACTAAATCTGGCGCTACTGGGCCAACCCTTCCCTAATGCCATTGCAGAGCCGTGAGAACCAGCCCATCTCCCATTACCTAACCCTCTCGCAAGGTTATTTGATCAGATCACTACGCCTTCATTTGAACCCCATCCAGCCCCTTCGGTATTATTTCTCCTACCTTTTAGTTCTCTACTCTATTTAGCATCCTACTTTCCAGCAGAAACATGAATAGGCAACTGGCAGAAAACCCGTACTGTATGAAAAAAATAATACTAAAATCGAGGATAAATCAGTGGGATCCGAAGGTAAGAGATAAAAAGGAAAGAGGGCATCGACAAACAAGAGAGGAGAAACAAAGGAGGGTGTTCACTGTAGTGGAGTAAACAAAGTCAATAAATGAAAAAAATAAAATAATAGTAAAAATTATTAATCATAATATAAATCATAAAATTAAATAAAAATTAAGATGTTAAGGAAGGGGTTCATCAGGGAAGAGAGGGGATTAGAGAGAATAGAGATAACAAGGAAAATCAAAAACAGTTCCGTCCTGAAGACCGACAAAGATCAAACGAGAGCAGCGAAAGATGAAAATTAACTCGACAAGCTACATGATCATTAGAAAAAAGAAAAACTCAATGTAAAGAAATTTTCCGATTGCTGAAATGTTCGTTTTTCAAATACTGACCCACTTTTTGAGCATACTGTAAGTGTTCTAAGGTGAGGAATTTCAGAACCTACCATAGGATTCATCAGTTGAAACATGATGACGAACATCTACTCGAACAGTCGTCCAGTAATTTGCGACACTTTGGCGTCGGAAAACGGTGACGAGAACGCTCGTAGCGGTTTGAAAAGCCCATCCATTCGACGTTGTCGGTATGTCGCTGTCGAAGTCTGTAGATGAAATAGGGTGTATTGATTTTTTCGGCCATTTTTCCCACAAGCATGAATGATCGTATCGTCCCGATGGAGACCATCGAGTAGACAATAAATACCTGGGAATTGCTCTGATAGAATGCTCCATAAGTACGATCGGAATAGCGTATCCAAATGCTCATGGCATGCATTGAGTGAATTGTAGAAGAATGCTTAACGATAACAATCAATATAGATCGATTGAGTGCCAAAAGATCAATAACATACTTCTAAAGCTGTTCAAATTTGAATTGATCATATGTCGTAGGACGATTAGTTTGTCTTCGAGTTGAGCTTTGAAGATCTTCTCTGCACTTTCGAGAATTTCATCTTCTATGTTTTTCGTGCAACACGCGTTCTTCCCAGTACAGATCTTCAAGTCGGACGCTAAATTGAAAATATTGCCAAAATTATTTTAAGGAATTAGGGGCACGGAGAGAACTCGTTTGGGATATAATGCGGAGATAATCGCGGACTATCGCAAGATACGGGGCCATCCTCCACGAGTAAGCCTAGGGGCAGAAACTCTGGAAAACGAAAATTGGTTACGAACCCTAAAAATCGCCTGTTCGCGCAGGATTTGGCCCCGATTTTGAACAAAAGGAGATGTTTGACGCGCTTTCAAGTGCATTGCTACCACAATGCCCCCATATCTTGTGATAGCGTAAATTGCTCTCGACAAAATTTTTGATGTTAGGAGAAAATATTTTTGGCACCATTCTAACTGTTCATGATAAGTTTGAAGTTACCCTATATGGATACATCTGGCATGTATGTCATCGGCGATGTTTGTTGATGTGAAAAATTCCAGGTTTCAATTTTTATTGATTGTTGAAATAGCTAATAATCTAATACACGTCAATCGAATTTCCCCAGGAAATATGATGGTATGTGATGCCCAAAATATGCCAATAAACCTCTCAACTACTGGATCAATCTTTACAAAATTGTGTATTGTGTTGGACGCTTGCCAAAAACCAGATATACCCGACATTTTCGAAATTGGAGAAGAAAAAGGTCTGGAAGGGGTTAATTACAGGAGCTCTGCCTCACCAAAGATTCAATTTCGGAATAGTGAAAATCAGAAACCTCCGGCTGAAATTTCATACCCCCTCAATTTTACTAAAAACTAGTCCCCATTCCCATTTCAACGGTTCGTTCGGAGCGCTTCAAAGCCCCAACGCCGACCAGCTCGTTCTGTTTTTGTGACGCATATGGGAGCGACCAGAACACAATACAAACGAAGATTCGCCCCTGTAACTCTAATTACCGCTAATTACTGTATAATTACCATTTGATCTGTATAGATTACGCCGGCGAAAAATTCATAACCCATAGTAAAAAGATATAGTAAAGCGAAGAAAAACCAACCGGGGCCTTTCTTCAGCAGTGTAGAATAGTCATAGTGAGACTTCTTTAACATCTCACATGACGTTGAAAGGCATACAGCTGGGAATAGAAGGGAATAGATGAGCCACGAGAGCGGTCTCATCCTCATCGTACCGACCTTTCTGTGCACTTGGTATCTCTGACGCGAATGGCGTAAGCACGAGGAGGCGGGGCCAGTGGGCCGAGGCGGGTCAGTACAATAGAGGCAGCGGTGCTAACGGCTATGTCGCCACAACCGAAACACGCCAGACGAGGTACTGACTCACTGATACCAGTCAGAGATAAGGTCAGTGAAGATGATCGAGTTATCATCATATGGGAAGGATTTGATGGATTAGGAAGTGGATGAGCTGCCAATGGCAAAATCAGGTTGATCTTCTCGTGATGTGGCAGATTTTGAAGTGTTTGGTGGGGGGGGGGGGTTAGGGAAGGTGATGAAGGGTGAGGGGATGTAGAGGGGAGGTTAGAGGGATAAAGTAGGAGGTGCCAAATTGTTGCGAGTTCTTTGTAGTAGCCTCGTATTTGGAACTAGCGGAACGTTATGTCAGGTACTATGGGGGGGGGGTGGTGCGGGGAGTAGCTGAGGTGGGTTTGTAGGACTCTGAGAGTTAATCTTAATTACGACTCGAGAGAACACTGGCCGTAAATTGGGCGGACTGTATCCAGAACCTAACGGCCTTATCACTATCGCCCTACGTTTTTTCACGCTAGAAAGGTGGGCTATTTTTAACTGGGGAGGGGGAATATTGCTAAGCTGCTCAGATTTTCCCATGATACGCCACGCGCTTGACTGCCTACATTGATTGTTCAAGTGACGGACAGCATGTGAGACTGTGTAAACATGCTGACGAATAATTCTTCAAACAAAGTCCCGACTGTGATCTCCCACACTTTGGCCTCAAGAAACAGATGGCTTGTGAGCGACTAAAATTGTTCGCTTGGTTACTGTGCATGCTGAGTAGTTCCCAGGCGAACCTAATATCGACAGCGTTCCCGGGAACATAATTTGTCCTGGCTTCCAGCCAAATACCGTTTTTTCGGAACAAATATGAAGGATAAATTACCAAGTTTTCCCATGGATAGAAAGCCAAACCCTAGACTAACTATTTGATTATTTTTTGGTGGGTGAAACAACATAAACTAATAAAAAAAAAAAAAAAAAAAAAACAACAAAAAAAAAAAATACTAATATTCAGTGCCGTGCAGAGGTACTTCTTATTGAACCTGTTGATATTTTTTGAGGCGAACAAAAATTACGCATAAAATAATTCTAAATAATTATTTCTCAGCATCAAATGGAGCAAATTCTGGGCATGCTAACCAGGCATATTCATTTATTTAGTTATTCAGCTATTCATTTATCTATTTTATTTATTTGTTTATTCAGAGCTGTTTCTGTTTGTCAGCTGCTGTCTTTGGCCGCAGTTCGCCTTGCGAATGTTTCACAAGAATGCTGGGTTTTGAAATATTTTATATTGTTGGAGTTGCTTAATATTTATTCGTGTTGTCTGTTTATTTATCTATTGCCAGGACTGGGCGTAAGTAATTATCTTCTGCTAGAATTTTATGCGATCGTTGCCTTTTCAGCTTATTATTATTGAATAGTTTTGTGAAAGCCGCCAGCTTACAAAATTCATTACAATTTCTTTTTCAGAAGTCTTCACCCAGGTAAAACCGATGTTTATACGCAGAAAACCTTTCTGAGCAAAGTTTGCTTCCAACGACCGGCACTGCGCACCGAGTAAATATCGTCACGGCACATTGACAGCTTTATAGGCGAAAGCTCAGCGAGATCTACTCTGAGAGACCACAAAGCGCTCACTGGGTGCGGACCCCTAAGCTGAGGACGTTGTTGAAGAGCTGGATGACCTTTGATTGGCTCATTATCACCTCTTGTCAACACTCCCGACCAAAAGCAAAAGCCGCTTGACGACTATTTGTCACTCGTTATGAGTTGACGACCATGGGAACAGTGCCCAGTGTGCACGCACTGGCGGGAATTTCACCTGGGGATAAAGAGCGCACAGTTTATGGACAACCAGTGATCGGCTGGGCACAGTCGAGGTGTGAGCATGGGAACGGTGCAGGTTTCTCAGGGGTTTCAGAAATGGAGTGAGCCATGTGTCAGTCACGTTGGTGACGCTTATCGCCTGAAACCATGAACGTAAGTGATTAATAACAGTGGAGGAAGCGACGTGTGCAGTGATAATTGTAAGCAGCATATAATGAAAATTAACTATGTGAAAGCGTTAATGTCCTCTAGTGTCTCTTCCTTACACGCTTCCTCTATGCCTTAACATAGAAGTTTTGACTTTACTCTCTTGAGGGTAAGTAGGGCAGCAACTAGGAGGCCCTTACCCACATAGTTTGAGGAATCAGGTTTGGCATCAATTTCTTTACTGATTAATCGCTATCAGATTTCCCAAGAAGGGGGGAGCACTGACTTGAAGGTCGAATCGTTGGACTCCGTCAACAAGCCCGGCTATT